TCTTTCCTCAGGTGTGTGAGATTCCGCATGTGAATCCTCACGTTCATTGAAGAACAAGGTACTAAAAAGATTACAGAAAATTCCTTTACATGAATTTTGTATGAATTTGAAATTTTTTCCCCAATTTTTGGGCTTTATGTCAGTGTGTAAGTGGTAAGCTGGTTTTTTTGTTGAAAGATTCACAAATGTCAATATTCATAGGTCTTTTCTCGGGGATTCTTTGGATTCTCAAAAGAGGCCTTCAAACTCCACCTTGGATACTATATAGGACTGGATACATTGAGTCTGTGAGCAGGGCAGGGAAAGGATGCCAAGATCCCTACCAGTCAATTTACCAACTATAACTTAATGCCCCTGTCCTCTGACTCTGCACCTCATCCTTGGCCCTCCCATGTGGCCATATTCCCCACACCAGAGTCTCCCCTGTTGTTTTTCAGAGATTAAATCTCTCCCTTCTGCAGTGAATAGAGGGAGTGGAGAAGGATAAAGAAGAGGTGAAGACATGGGCTGTTCTGGACTGGGCAGGGGGCCTGGGGGTCCAAATGCTCCATGTACTAAGCTTCCATGAGTTCTCCTGATTTCCGCTTCATCTCCTGATTTTTTCACCCCATTACGTGACAGCTGGTGTCCAGTTCTGATTTTTTTCCAGGGTTTTGTCAGATACATTCACTCACTTGTTGCTAATACTGTTCTTCGTTAGTACTTCTGCATTAACGTCCTCTGCCCTGCTGACTCACTCACCACTCCCCACCTACTTCCTATCTTCCAGAAGTGTCTTAGCCTCCTCTTGTCTGCTTGTGTCTCCCTTCCTGCTTCTTTGTCTCTGTGGGTTTATGAAATTTTGTTTTTCTTTGCATATTATATTACTAGAGAAATTCTAGTGGAAGAGAAGAGAAATGCATGTGGTCAATCTGCCATGTTTAAACAGAAGTCCCAAAGGTTTGGGGTCAAGGGTGATTGTTGTTGTCTTTATAAACATTATGCAGAATATAATATTTATAAATCTTATGTCTTTATAAATATTATAAAGCAAAATATTTTATTTTATCTGAAAAATAAACAGATAAAAGTGGTGTCACAAGGAGTGCAGGAGTCAGAGAGCTCCTCCTCAGCTTTCTCTTTTTCCTCTAAACCCAGACCAACTCTGAGAACACAGATATAAGAAAGTGGCAGTCGTCTCTAATTGCAGTTTCCAATTTCTGCCTTTCTAGATCTTTCTGCCGAAACATAGAGTAACCAAGGAGTCGTGAAGAAGTTGTCTTGTGTTCTCCTTGGATGACATGTTTCTTTTATAGATTCTGCCACTCAGCATAGGCTCCTTATGTGCCTTCTTCCTAAAGATGCTTAATATTGTATGCGGGTACAAAGATAACAAAATAGTGTATGCTCAAGAAATTTAGAAGCTAGTGGGGAAGCCGGTAGGGTAGAAACTGTCACGTCACATGCACATTCAAAGGTGCTCTGCTTCACATTACAAGTCTTCTAGAAGTGAGTAGCCCTCCTACCATTGCCCAACCTCATCTCCTCAGTATCAAAAAACACTGGTTTTATGATGGAAGTTCTGCTTGTGAATGCTCAACGAGGACAAAACTAAATGGTGAACAGGTGAGGATTGCCGCTATAATCTAAACTGTTCCAATTCCAACTCCTCTCCTCGACTCCCTGGCCTCAGCAGAGATCATCATGAAAGAAAGCTCTTGGCCGATGCTTATGCATATTTTCATACTGAATAAGCATTGCCTAGGCCCAAATTCAAAGCAGGAAATACATATCAGCAGATTAAAGTCTTTGAGCAACACCCAAATGCTCACATGGAGACAAGTAAATATGCTCTTTGTTTGTCCCTAGCTATGGGTCCTTTAATGTAAAGGTTACATGGCAAATATTTTCTATCCCAAATGTCAAAACAACCATGGACTTCCCTGAGGGGACTGTTTTTCCAAAACTCCGTGAAATCAGGTTGGCAGGCCAGGACAGACATAATGCTGCAGCTACACATATTCCTTGAAAAACCACAGGAAGCAGCACACTCAGAGTCCTCACAGTACCACATGGGAGCAGGCCAGGACGGGATTCCTGAGGTGCTCACCAGGCATCACGAGCGGCAGGTGCAACTACCTACTCACTCAGTCAAGACCATGGCCCCTCACACTGGCTGCTCCTTTCCGTGAAAAAGAAAATTTCCAGAGGTACATACCTCCCTCAAAAGGAATAATTAGGCTCAAAAAAAATCTTCCGTGGGGAGGCACTCATACACCCTTGCAGGCTTTTTCTCCAGGGATGCCAGGCTCTACCATGCACACATAATAGTAACAGCAGCTTCCCTGTGAGTGCGCTTCCTCTGGGGGATTCCAAAGTGCTGTACACACCATGGGGAAAATCTGGCGAAAGAATTCAGATTAGTAGGCAGCCCTTTCATAAATCCTTCCTCTACCTTTCTAGTAAGGGGGAAAGAGGAAGGCAGACAGGAGAAGCGAAGATGTGAGAAGGTTGTCACTTGTTCACAAATTTCCCCCTTCTTCTGCCTGACTCAGAGGTTTTGGGTCCTGCCTGTTTACCTGATCTCCATTCCCTAGTGTTCTGAGAAAAGGACAGGTAGAAGTTATGCTGGAAGGTTCTACAGAGAAAATCAATAGAATAAAAGAAACCATATGATGCCCCAAGGAGCTGAATGGTGAGGGAAATGTGGCATATAGGGGGACCTTGTGCAGGAGAAGGAGGCTGGAGAAACGAGGTGGCAGAAAGGTTAATGTCGAGGCAAAAAGAAAGTATTTTTTTTTTTTTTTTTACTGAGTAAGAAATTTCTGCAAGTTTCCTTGGGCCAAACAATGGTGATATTACCATACCTTGCATTAGTCTATGTACTTGAACGTTTTTCAATGACTGAAATATATGAGAGAAGTTTTGAATTATTATTGGAAACATAATCTTTTAACTAGACTAGTGCTCTGGTATGGGACCACATTGCAGAAGCTTCCTAGGCCTATCTAGAGAGTGGCTCCAGATACATTTGTGCTACCTCTCCATCTTTTCTGCAACCCCCAAAGATATTTTATCCCATTGAACTATCTCCTAAGAATCAGCCTTCCAGGCTCTTTTCCTCTTCTTCCTCTGGAAACGCACACTTGACCTTTGGTAGTCTGATGAAAAAGTAAGGACTCCTGGATTAATGTACTAGCATGTGCCTGCCTTTCCAGATACACCCTTCTCCACCTTGATCTAGGTGAGGGCTGACCTGCACGGTCTGATGGAGGGCAAGAATCTTTTGTCCTCTCACTTGTGGTTGAATATGGTCAATGGGTAACATTAGAAGGAGATCTGGAGATAGAAGCTGATTATTTACTCCCAAAGTCATTTCCTATTCTACAGGAGTGTCCCTCAACCACTGGCACAGCCTCAGTTGAAAGGCTGTCTCTACACAGCTCTCTCTCCTTCCCTGGGTTCTGGTAACCACTTTTTTCCTCACTCATTCAGACCTGAAGTTCACCAGCTCTGGAGTCTGGCATTATCCCTTGTGAGTTTTCCCTGCTCCTCATCCACATCCAAGTTAATAGTCTTTTTATTAGAGTGTCTTCAAATTACCCAATTAGAGTGTACATTCTGTTTCCAGCTGGAACTCCTGACTGACACAGTAGGCAGAAGGAAATTTACCGAAGCAAAATGGCTAGCCTACCCGGAGGGCAAAAGTAAAACAAGAGTGCTATTTATTAAGTGGTCATAAAAATAAACATAAGCTGAAGAAAAATCTTGTCAGACTTAGGTTACATAAGAAAGCATTAAATTGAAACAAATAAATCATATTGTAATACAGATTCTTATAGGAAGTCTATAATTCCTACCACTGTATTACAAGAAAGACTGTTAAGAATGGTTTACAATCATTTTTCTTTTAAAATTTCTTTTAAAAAATTAAGAAACAACCCAAAACACTACTTTAAATAAAAGAGTTAACCCTAAAAGATCAAGATGAAAAGAATCTGGCTGGGATCATAAAGATTATAAAGAAATTAAAGGCAAAGTAGAAGTAAGACTTGCATTAGAAGTAGTAAAGAGCAGAATTGCCAATGAATAAAATCAAGTCATTGGTTGTGAGGAATTCACTTGAGGGACTCTATCACACACAGAAGAAATGTACGAAAAACATCAGCTGAAAATAAGCTAAGCTGTAAGTGAGATTATTAAATAGCCTACATACGAGATAAACATTCAATAAGCAAAGCTTTTTAATACATCAAAATAACTATGTAGAAATCATAACAGGAAAATATATCATTCATCTTAGAAACAATAATTATATGCATTACCTAATATATTTTTATATTAACAACCAATTAATTTATGGAGTAGTATGATGAAAACTATACAGCTTTATTGAGTTATAAAAAATAAATGAAATGGCATGTTATTGTATAAGAAAATTCACTACTGTAAAAATATCAATTATGCACAAATTAATGTTGAGGTTTTACTGCAATAATAATCAAAATCCTAGTGGAACTTGTGTTGGATCTGAGTGGAAAGAGCAATAACTTGACAAAATGATTCTGAATTTATGTAAGAAATGTGCAAAAAATAGCAAAGAAAAACAAGTTCAAAGAAAGAAGACTTGACCTACCAAGTTACACTATTGTTATAATAATTAAGACATTTATTACTTGTACATTTATGAAAAAAGGTAATATGTGCAAGAGAATGCTATCTTTAAAATCATAATTTTACAAGTACATTAGACATCATAAATCCATGAAGAAAAGAGATTATTCAATAATTGATGCTGGAATGAGATTAAATTTTTGAAAAAAATGTGTGCAACTCTATCTTATGTTACACCAAAACCAGTTCCAAATGGACTAAAGAACTATAATTATTCAATTATACCATAAAAAGCTAGACACACTGATATATACTTATGAGATCTTGGATTGAGAAAGAATTTTCCACATAAAAGTAATGCACAGTTTCATAAAGAAATAGTTTATTAGTGTTTTCTTAAAAAGCTAGTGCTGGCTTCAGCAGCACAGATACTAAAATTGGAACAATAAAGAGAAGATTAGTACAGCCCCTGTGCAAGGATGACACACGTATTTGTGAAGCATTCTATATTATTTTTTAAAAAAAAAAGAAAGAAAAGCTAACCTCTATTTGACAAAAGACATTATGGTAAGCATAGGCTACTGTAACAAAGTGTCAACAATATGATAGTGTCTTAGTCCACTCTTCCTTCTATAACAGAATATCATAAACTGTGTGGCTTATATACAACAGAAATTTGTTTTTTACTTTTATAGAAGCTTGGAAGTCCAAGAGCAAGGAGCTGGCATATTTGGTGGCTGGTGAAGCCTGACTGTCCTAGTGCATAGGCAGTTGTCTTCTCGCTGTAATCTCACATGGTAGAAGAGGCAAGGAAGCTCTCTCTGGGACTTCTTTTTTTTTTCCATAAAAACAGTAAAATGTTTATTTTCTTAGAAAAAAAATTGAGGAAGAGGGATTCAAAATGATTGTGATCACACTTTCATCTGCATCTGAGCAAAGCCAGTGCTGCAAGTTTAATCCTTGACTAAGATACCTATTAAATCGAACAACCTGCCACTTACTCCTATGTCACTTCCAGGAGTCACATCACACCATGCTTCTAATTGATAATAGCTTCTCCACTTCCTCTGAGCAGAGGAACAAGGCTTGCCATAGCAACCATCCCAACTCCAAAGCTCAACACTGCCAGCAAGAAGCAAGGCTCAGTCCATCTCTAGACTGCGTGCGAGAGATGGGGAGGAAAGAGAGAGGGCAGGAGATGCTTGTCTTAGAAGCAGAACCAGTTTAGAATAGAAGTTTGATATCTGAGTTCACCACTACCTCATCTTATAGAAAATAGGTTGGAGAGCATCTGTAAAACCAACAGTGTTTGGCGACGAGTATAGGATCAAACCAATGGAAGAGGTCAAACACATGAAAAGTGGGGCAGAAGAAGAGCAGAAAATAGCAGCCAGGAACCAAGAAAACTTGGAAAAAAGTGCCAGCTCAAATGTCAGACTTAAAACTAATAAAGAGGTTCCAGGATTAGTTCATCAACCCAGAGCAAACATGCACCTCTCTGAAAGCCAACAAGAATTCTTTAGAATGCTGGATGAAAAAATTGAAAAGGGTCGGGATTACTGTTCGGAAGAAGAGGATATCACATAGCACCAATTTTACCACTCAAACCAGGAGCTACTACTGTGCAAATAGGTTACACTCCAGTTGAAATCTTTGCAAAGGTCGGTTCTATTCAGGGAACAGCACTATAGCAAAAGAAGATCGTTCCATATTGTACGCCCCATTAAATTACAGTGTTTCTTAATGAACTTGCAAAAGAATATTTCTAAAAACAAACAAACAAACAAAAACTGTTATCGAACTTTCTTTGTTGCTGCTAGTTAAAACTTGTTGCAACTTTTCACTTCTCTTGTATCCAGGTATGCAGCAAAATTCTGCAATCTCTGGGACTTCTTTTATCAGGGCATTAATCTTATTCATGAGGGTTCCAGCCTCATAACACCTACCAAAGGCCTTACCTACCAGTACCATCCCATTAGAGGTTAGGATTTCAACATATGAATTTCAAGAGAACATGTCAGTCTGTAGCAGATGGCTTAAAGAACAAGTAGTTTACGTGCACTTACCTAAGAGTCCAGCGTGTGCCATTTACAATCACGCAGGTTCTTTCCAATTTCTAGCTCTGCTGTCTCCTAGGGCACTCTTGTTGCCTGTATGGTTAAAGCTGGGTCTGTACCTCCTTTGGGTCTCCAGCTGGTAAAAATATAGAAGGAAGAATATGAAGTAAGCACTCCCACTCCACTGATCTAGTCAGACAATAGTAACTATTACTTCTGTTTACATTGCTTTGCCAAAATGTTGCATGGTTCCATTTTACTACAAAGAGGATTAGGACAGGTTGTCCCTAGTTAGGCAACCACATGCTTAGCTGTAATTAACTATAGAAAAAGGAAAACAAATTTAGGTGGTAAATAGCAATATCTACCACACCAGTCTAAAAACTATTGAAAGGCAGAGAGCTAACTGAGGAACCACACTTGCAGCAAATATGGAAAAAGGTTGTCATCTTATAACATAAAATTTATCTTATAGCAAGTAGAAAAACACCAATGCACCAAAAAAATAAGCAGAGGACATAAACAAGCAATGTAAATGTCCTATAAAAATGAAAATTATACACCATTGCTTGTAATAAAAGAAATATGTTAAAATAATTAAATGGCATTATTTATTGATCTGTTTGTCAAAGTCTTCCTTAATTGTTATTCTCAGTGCTGGCACAGTGTGTTAACAGCACTATAATTGAGTATGAATCAGTGTTCTGCCATTGGGAAATACACTTTCTTAGTATACACAAGAGCCTTTGCTCTGCTCTTCTCATGGAACACTGAGTCCACATTAAAAACCCACCCTAAGGAAATAATCCAAGATGTGGTCAAAGAAGTATGTGCAAATATGTTCACCATAATATAAACAATTGGAAATAACCTAAATGCCTGATACTAAGAGAATGGTGGAATAAATTATGTGTAGGGAGCAACATGGTTGCTATCTCCATGCTCGCATCTCACCTTGTAGCCTAGATCACTTCTGTTCATCTCCCATTTGGGAAGTACTGACAAGGAAAATATATTAAACAATTCCTCTAATGACCAGTGATGATGAGCATTTTTTCATATGTTTGTTTGCCTCATGTATGTCTTCTTTTGTAAAGTGTCTGTTCATATCCTTCACCCACTTTTGAATGGGCTTGTTTTTTTCTTGTAAATCTGTTTTAATTCTTTGTAAATTCTGGATATCAGCCCTTTGTCACATGGGTAAACTGCAAAATTTTTTTCCCATTCTGTTTGTTGCCGATTCACTCTAATGACTGTTTCTTTTGCCATGCAGCAGCTGTGGAGTTTGATTAGGTCCCATTTGTCTATTTTGGCTTTTGTTGCCAATGCTTTTGGAGTTTTGGTCATGAAATCCTTGCCTACACCTATGTCCTGAATGGTTTTGCCTAGATTTTCTTCTAGGGTTTTTATGATGTTAGGTCTTATGTTTAAGTCTTTAATCCATCTGGAGTTAATTTTAGTGTAAGGTGTCAGGAAGGGGTCCAGTTTCTGCTTTCTGCATATGGCTAGTCAGTTTTCCCACCATTTATTAAACAGGGAAGAAATGCAAGTCAAAACCACATTGAGATACCATCTCACACCAGTTAGAATGGCAATCATTAAAAAAATCTGGAGACAACAGATGCTGGAGAGGATGTGGAGAAATAAGAACACTTTTACATTGTTGGTGGGAGTGTAAATTAATTCAACCATTGTGGAAGACAGTGTGGTGATTCTTCAAGGACCTAGAAATAGAAATCCCATCTGACCCAGCAATCCCATTACTGGGTATATATCCAAAGGATTATAAATCGTTCTACTATAAGGACACATGCACACGAATGTTCATTGCAGCACAGTTTACAATAGCAAAGACCTGGAACCAACCCAAATGCCCATCGATGATAGACTGGACAGGGAAAATGTGGCACATACACACCATGAAATATTATGCAGCCATAAAAAACGATGAGTTCATGTCCTTTGTAGGGACATGGATGAACCTGAAAACCATCATTCTCAGCAAACTGACACGAGCAGAAAATCAAACACCACATGTTCTCACTCATAGGCGGGTGTTGAACAATGAGAACACATGGACACAGGGAGGGGAGCACTACACACTGGGGTCTGTTGGGGGGAAATAGGGGAAGGACAGTTGGGGGTGGGGAGTTGGGGAGAGAAAGCATGGGGAGAAATGCCAGATATAGGTGAAGGGGAGGAAGGCAGCAAATCACACTGCCATGTATGTACCTATGCAACAATCTTGCATGTTCTTCACATGTACCCCAAAACCTAAAATGCAAAAAAAAAAAAATACAAAAAAAAAATTCCTTCATTCCTTACTGATTCTTTTCCCAGAAAGAAATTTCAGAGACTATCATATCTATTAGTCATGTGCCACATAGTTGGGTTGACAGGAAACATGTTTCATTCTTTCTTACACTCAAGTGTTTAGGAAAAGACCAGGTTTCCTCTCTGCTTCTTTATGATGAGTGTGTGATCTATATCAGAATCAAGACCTTCACTCTCTCAGATTCTCCATTCCAACATAAATGGATGTATGAGGCAGGCCTAAAACTTCTATGTAGATGCCTAGTCGAGCATCTTGAAATTTACCTTACAAACTCAGTTATTCCAACTGAAGCATCCAATACCAGGAAAACAGGAGGTCTCTGATCCCAGTCTCTCTCTTAAAGCTAACTTCTCCAGATACTTGTAAATTCTAGGACTTATGGGACGTAATTGATATGGTGCTTCGTTCCCTACATGGCTACTTGTGCCTATTTTCTACTGGAGGGACTAGCACATCAAACTTCTAATACTATGGGATGGGTATAAGTGAAATAATATGCATTTCATTTGAGAATTACGTTTATTTTATGAAAAGAAGCTAATAATATGATTGCTAATTGAAAGTTGGGGAACTAAGACTTTCATTTCAATAATGTGTCAAGCTAAAATCCAGAAAAAGGCAAGTAAAATGCTGGATAATTTTTTAAAATTCTTTTCAAGTTATAGCTTAACTGAAAGGAAGATGAGTAAAATCCTCATAAGTCAGATCATATTTGACAAGATAGGAAAGCACCTCCATGACATTTGTAGCTTCAGCTTTAATAGCCTGTCTCTGAGTTAATGGATGAAAAGCTTAAGGCCCATACAAAGTAGGAGCTGTATCAGCAACCTTCTTCCCAGACCCCCAAAAAGCTGCAACCACTAAAAGGCAACTCTCTCAATTGTCAAACATGAAAATGTTATGCCCTACTCATAGGATGTATTAAGGAAAATATCCAGTCTCAGCCTTGGCCCATAGGGGAACAGAAACAAATCTTGATAAGAATTTGCAACAACAAATCAATCCTCATATGAGTTTGAGACTGTAATTCATATGTTAGTTTGGCCTCAAATACCCAAGCCATGAATTTGGTTTAAAGTGTTCTCAGGCATCTAGTAAAATCACACACAAAGCCTCATACCA